GCGACAAAAACTGCGGGGAACTCTGCAAAAAACGCATCTCCGCACGGGCAGCCCGTGCGTTGGCCAGTTATTTGTCTCATGCAAGTGCAAAAACGCGTACTGTCGAAAAGTTGTTTGCGCGTGCACAAGTCGACTGAACTTTGTCACTCATCTTCAGCTCAGCAACTGGAAAAGCTAGAGCTATGCGCTATCCTCACGTTTTAAAATTTGCGTTTATTTGGCCTTACGTGCAGATATCTGGAAGAAGACATGCGTTTTGTTAAGAAGCGACTTAGGAAACCAGACAAGATAGAAAGCTTATAGTTTGCAAGGGTATTCCCTGTGCATGTGTGAGTTAAATATTTCAAACCCAGCTACCGCGCACGATTGCATAATGCGTGCGGTCACACAGGTCTTCATCTTCGTTTGGCGCCGTGCCAACTTAACGTACATGCTGGAGGTTAAGATTTCAAGCGGCCCCATGATGCAACACTGTTGCAGCAGTGGCGAGACGATTTTTTTACTATTTTTCTTCATTGTTGCATTTCTTTGTTGGATTTTTCGGTGGACGCTCTGTCTGCCTTGCTAATACTGTCTGATCACATCATACTGTTTCAGCTGTTGCAAACACATATTTCACTGGCATTCATTTATTTAATATAACCACACTGGGAAATGCACTGACGGGGAAACAAGGAGAACTCAACAATAATAAAAGCTCGGATAAAGTGACATACAATGTTGAGGCACTCATTTTGATTCACTTAAAAGGAATATCACTCAACAGGCAACAAAAGAATAAAATGCAATAGATCAGAACAGAGTTCTGACACCGATTTAAACAAAAATTACTAAGTCAGTAGAAGAGAAGAATTTAGCAAAAATTCCTTCAGCATCGAGAATCCCTCTTCAGACCACAGACACGGCTGAAAATGGACCCAACTAAACGTGAACTAAAGAAACATTTCCCCCGGCATTTCCGTTTTGCAGATCCAAAATGTGGATTCCCAACAAAAAACTTTTGTCTGAAAATCTTTTTAAATACATCTGACTTAAGCCGCTAGTGAAACTAAAATCCCTCCCCTCCCCTGGGCCCAACCTCCCACTCCCCTTTCTTCCCTGACTAGTTACAGATCGGGGAAAAAATTTAGCAACCAGCCGGGTCTCATTCCGGAATTCTTGGTCTTAATTAACCGTAAAAACTGACAGCAAAATCGAAAATAATTAAGGAAAGAAAGAATATCTGTCAATATAAATAAGTCATTAATGTTAACAGTATCGATAAAGCTAATAATGTTAACAATATCGATAAAGCTATTAGGATTTTTATACATAATTATCACAGTTTACGAGCACAAATTCGTGGAAACCAGCCACGGATCATCACAACATTTTCTCTTCTTGGTTCCGAAGAATCGCCAAAGAATTCAACGGCTGTCTCTTCATTTAGAAAAGTACCGTAAAACCAGTGTTTGTTAGCTCTGGTTACCATCCAATGCTCTCCAAGCTAGAAAAATGTCTATTTGGCTCACAAGGAAGATAAAAAGTCTTCTCTTGGAATGAGCAATAGCTAAAAAAGATTGGTGATAAAAGTGATCTTTGGAGGGAAAATTGCTAACTCGGAAACCAGGAAAGCTGGGAGGCTGAAATTTTAAGGGGATGTTCCCAGTCCACGTACAACTTAAAGACTTCAATTTGAAATTCCTCAGGTGCAAAAATCGCTAATAAAACCAATAAACCAGAAATGGCGGCAGAAACCTTCACAGGTTGTCGTGTTTCCTCAGACCAAGGCTGATAATACCAAATGCGTAGACCAAATCTGATCGAAGAGCAATAGCCACCGGAGAATTCTTTGATAATTTCAACCTCGTTAGCATTATCTCGTTTACTTTTCTTCTGAAGCAGCTGCTCCTCCTGAAAATACAAGAACTGTCCCAATACGTGAGTTTGTCTGTTGCAAAAGTGCGAAACTACTGCATCTCATAAGATTTAGCAATTTAGGGTAAAGATCAAAATATTCATAAATTATAAAAATGTGGAAAAGTACAAATAATGAGAGAGGAAGGAAGAGCACAGAGAATACCAAGTGTGAAAAAGCTGGCAATACTAACGTGCGAAAAGAACGTATCAGAAAAATGGGTTTTTTTTACGTTTTTTATCTTTTTTTTTTTTTTTTTTTTTTTTTGGGGGGGGGGGGGGGGGG